AATAACTATTGCAAATAATAATAAAAATCTCTCAAGTTAGAATATAAAGAGTCCTACTTGCGTTACAAGTTTTAAAAAGTAAATTCGACTTATTTTAGGTTTCTTAAATACTGGTGACAGCCTGGCACCAGGTAACATGGGCCTCAAGGACCAAGTCTTGGCCTTCCGCTGGGTTCAAAGAAATATTGCTGCCTTTGGTGGCAATCCAAACTCCGTCACTCTGTGTGGTTATAGCGCAGGAAGTTACAGCATAATGTTGCACATGGTGTCACCAATGTCTCGAAATCTCTTTCACAGAGCAATCGCAATGAGTTCTTCAGCTATTAAACCGGAAGTTTATAGCGGTATATCGCAACATGGGCAGCGAGAACTTGTTCAAAAGCAGGCGCGATTATTGGACTGTCCCATTGATTCAACTAGTTCTCTGTTGCGCTGTTTCCGTTCGAAGCCTGCAGAAAACTTCACAAATACATTTAACTCTTTATTCGTACGTTTAATATAACAGATAATTCACGTTACTATTTTCTTGGTAGGTTAATTATATTTTTTATTATATATATCATTTGCATTCATATATTAATTCAGCTTTTACTTTTATTTAATTTCAATTTATTTTCGGAATTATCTATTATTTACATTTTTAATTATATTCTTTTGAAAGGATTGGCGTGGAAATCCTACATTGCTTTGGTCACCAGCTGTAGAACCGGAAGTTCCCGGCGTCGAAAGATTCTTAACCGATCAGCCGTACAACTTGATTAAGCAGAGAAAATTCTACCAGGTTCCATTGATAATAGGAGTTACTAAAGATGAGCTTGGCGGCATGGTTGCATGCAAGTATTAGAACCAATCTATAAATATATTATAGAAATATAAAAATTAACAGTCCAATTATTTTATTGAATTATATAGCTTACGAAAGAGCAGCACAAAATGGTAACGACACTATATATCGTGAATTGAATAAAAATTGGAACACTCTCGCTCCAATCATATGTAGATACGAACGTGATACGCCACGGTCAAATTACGTTAGTAGAGAATTGCGGAAATTCTATTTCGATGATCAGCCAATTAATTCGACTACCAACAGAAAACTAACGGAAGTACATATCAGATTCTTTACCCTCTAATTCTATCTTTTTCTTTATACTAAAAAGAAAAAAAAAATACCGTGAAATCCTTTTCAGCTGTTCGCTGATTGTTTAACTATATTCCCCGTGTACCGAGCAGCCAGATTATTCGCCACGTATTCTACACATCCGGTGTACTTTTATAAATTCACATTCCAAGGACGGAGGAGCTTCAGCATGTTGAACGATAAGACATACGGTAAAACG